CCGCGCTATGAGAAAGCGATATACCAGCACCTCAAACATGTACTCTTATGCATTGATGCATATCGACCTGTTAACATAGATGTTGAAGCAGCTGTGACGTTACTAAAGATTGTTTCCTCTTGAAGGGCTTGGAGAAGCGAGCAAGCACGTGCAGGTCTTTTTCGACGATGGTATCCCCATAACCGAACATATGAACAACCGCAAACACCATGAAACATCGCAACCAGCCCAGAAGACGTGATCTTAGTTCCAAAAAGCATGCAACAGACCTCGGTGATGGCATTCCACTCAGTGACTTCTGACGGCCACGTGGGGCCCCCTTATTTTACGGAATCGGGAGGGGGTTCGCCCTTACAGCGTACCTAACCATTATTCCGACAGTTCGAATCAACAAGATGGAAGAAGGCATCATCCTGCATGGAGTGATGCTCTTCGAGGAGTCAGCTCCTCGGCATACAGTAAATTAAATACAAAATCTCCTGAAACGGAGGATCCCGGAAACTGTACCCAAGGCTAAATGGCCCCTCCCTCACTAAACCTCAGCCCACACAAGTTCTGGTTGCTGGGGCGTTTTTGCGGCCGAGTCTAACGAACGTCCCCATGTGACTGTGGTGAGCCTCAGCAGTGCCAGTTGGCTACAATTACGAGCCATTTCAGACGGGAGATCTCGCCGCGCGTGCGGCCAGTCCAGGCACCGATAAGGACTGATGCAGGTGGACCACAGTGATCATATTTGGTGATAAATGTGTAAAATTGGTGTGACAATATGTGATCCAAATTTGAAATGCCTACGTTTACAAATTTCTAAGCTACGGCGTTCTGAATGCAAATATGTATTTTGTCCCAATTTATCTGCCCAACCCTGTAACTGTGTCAGTCGCGGCTCATCTCTTCGTGGTCGCGACCTGGCTTTGGTCGCGACCCTTTCGAAAGGGCTGCCATCTAACGGTAAAACCCAGCAGCTGCGCGCATATAGGTATGTATTGCTCGGCCGGAACCAGATTGTCCCATTCCCCAAAGAACGGAAGACAGGAACTACGGCAAATAGCCTGTTTGCGTGACAATACGGAACACCGGTACGAGAGACGACACGCAATCAGGGTGGCTGGCTAAAGAACATCGTCTGCACAGCGCAGAATCGCAGCACAGTCATCTCATCACACGGAACATGCATGGAAACTACATGCTTTATTGTGTTCTGTTTATTTACTTCTCCCTCCTCCCCGCCCAACAGGCCAATGTTGCCCAATTACTTGGTGGGCTCCCTTTCCACCTCAGGCTACGGCTGTTGCGGGAGCCTACCTCGCTTCTGGTGGCGTGCTAACCAACCAATACCCCCCAGCAGGGCGTGGAAATCCAGGACCCCCAGCCGTGCGCGGGAAAACAACCATTTTGCCTCACAAAAGTCAAGTAGTATGTTCATGTGGATGTAGTCAAATCTCCTCTAAGGGTGTACTGAATGACAAGTGGAGCCCAGAATACGTGGTTTTGCACAGTTCTGATGGCTCTCAGTATCACAAAAAAGATCAATGAAAACGAATAAAACCTGAATAAAACGACAAAACAATGGTAACAGCCGTCGCCTCATGAGCAATCAAGGTATCATGTATATAACGTCAGATAATTTAACTGCGGACAAAAAATGAACAAAATACGGAAATATGTGTTTGTTGCAACAAAAGGCTGGCAGAACACAGTCGCTGTGTTCTGTAGGTGTAAATTCTGTCCCTAAATGTTTACCACCACAAAAAGCGTTTCTAGATTCACGCTCCGGTGAATTTGAACTCCAGCATTTGCATGTGAGATTGTGTCAGACCTGAGACGACTGAGGCATCGCGCACCCCGAAGCTCACTGGATTCTCGCCTTCTCGTTGATGGTGTTGTGTTGGCTAAGATATGCTAACAAATCGCGAGGCACGTTTTGACACACGCTCTTTGGTATTTAAAAGTAATGTTTTCTTAGGCGTCACAAGCTGATAGGATTTACGTTGATCTTTTCGCTAATGGCATAGCGAATTCAGAACACATCGGCTACTAAGTAAACAAGCCATTTCACACGGCGCTGGCTCCCGAAGAAAATACAATAAAAACACACAGCAACAGGTTTTCTTGCGTACAACAGGCAGCAAGTCAAAACTAATAGGTACATTTCTACTGCAGGTTAAAGTAGAGGAAAAGCCAGGAGCTGACACAGTTTAATAAACTTGCAGTCGATGCGAGTACATACTTCGTAAACGCTAACAGCCGATTACTGGTAGTTGTAGGGGCGCTTCTCTATCCCGGCCTGAATCATAAATCCATAGTCGCGACGCCCGATATGAAAATGGGCAACAAAGAGACTATTCATTTCTCATAAGTCTTAAATGTCTGAAATCTAAGGGCACGAGGCAGGGCTGGGTCAGGTCAGGTTCAGGTCAGGTCAGGTCAGGTCAGGGTTAGGTTTGGGTCAGGTAAGGGTCAGGTAAGGGCAGTTTAGGTCAGGGTCAGGTCAGGGTGAGAGCAGTGCCAGGTTAGGTCAGGTACAAAAGGACAGAATACATGTTATGGTAGAAACAGATTGCCAGCAGTAAATGTTGATGCAATAGCCGCAATGCACGTATCACATCGACGTTATCAATCGCCATCATTCTGCTTTCTCATCAAGACGCATAGCATTGTCTATACTTTGAAATCTAAATGTAAGTTCAAACCCTCGACAAGGTCAATTGTTTAAGTCGTAATTTGACAGCGAAATGTTACAACAAGGTAAATTGTAAAAGTCATAAGTTAAAAGCGAACTGTTGCAACAACGGCATACAACAAAAAGGGTAAAAACATGCGCATAATTAACCCAACAAATGCTACGCCTAGAGAGGAAGTTTGATTGATGACCAGACTACATCCGAAAAACTAGTTCACAACAAATCGCCCCTAGTTATTTGGAGAGAATCAAACCAGTGCTATTCAGTATATAGCTAGCTACCAGCTCTTCGCTTCCTGATACACTATCGTACCACCGGCAGTCTGCACCGAATAACATCAAAGCAATAGATGTTCCCAGACATTCGATTACGGCCACTATTCAGGAAGGACTCTGCCGACCGAAATCAAAGCTTCGCTGGAATCCAATGGCTGGTGTGGTCGCCCAACTTAAATGCGATATCCGCACCAGACTTTTGGCTTCGACATCCATGGGAGCCAGATGGCGTCTGGATGCTCGTGCTGAAAGTGCCCCTCTCAGTTGACCTATAGCATCTTCTTCCGTATCGTCACATGATTCCTAGTCGAAACTTCAATGAAGCTACTTATATAAGGTTTAGAGATCGTCCACATAATGAATTACAGGGCGCATGTAACGGCTAGACGGTGAATACTAAAAACGTTTAGCGGGAACAGCTGAATAGACAGACTGACAGAGCGATCAATGGATCGCCGAGTCGACAGACCAACAGACCGACAGACCGACCGACAGACCCGACAGACCGACAGACGGATCGATGACAAATTAAAACGGCCAAAGAAGCCAGACAGATAGTTTATGCTGTTTCATAGCAGTTTTTGTATTGTTTGCGCGCGTATAACCTATGCATTAATGCTTGAAAGTGCATGCAATAGACTAGATGCGGAAGGTCATCGTTATCAGGCCCCGGACGGCCCCGGCCCTGAACATCCTGCCGGCCTTTTGATTCTGGTGTGAGGCCGTTCAAAATTAATATCGTCCTGTTACGTCGGGTTATTGTACCATTAGTTCTTCTCTAAGCCAGCTCACGTGTGAACCCGGGCTGACTCACTGGCACGGAATTATTCTAATGGACAGCAGAGAGCATCTAATGCATCTGACCACAACAGCGTGACACGTTCACAGAATATTGATGCTAATCTAATCATGCCTCTGGATGCCCACGAGATCTTGTGATACATTAGCTAGTGAGGCTTGGAAACAAGCAGCACGAGAGTCTCAGGTCATCCGGGGCGATATTTTTGATGGCCCTAGGGACATGTGACAAACCTAACCAGCGTTTATATTCAAGATATGTTGGCGATAAGTTTGAAATGTGACGTGAATGATTTTCAATCACGTTCTGTCTCGACAGGAACGTTGCAACTTAGTTTGCATCGGTATGATCTCTATGTACAAAAAAAAAACGAAAAAAAAACGGAAGACTTCGATGCGAAAACATGTCGCATAAAAATACATGAAACATGATAATTCATAAAAAGCCCTACTTTCATCAATAATCACGAAGTTCAGTCAAAGCCTAGGGCCGATATGAATACCTTGATAAGGATTAAAAAGAAGAAGATGAGTCATAATCGATGCTGGAAAAATAAGGAAGCAAAGTCATAACAAATTAGTTCAACTACGCTAGTCATCATGATCATCATAAGAGTCCGTTTGTGTCATGATGGGGTCAATGCTGGAGTCCGTTCGAGTCATGATGGAGTCAAAGAGGCAGTCATGAGAGTCAACCACTACCTCGCAGCCCAACGTAGGGACTAAAGTCAATAACCATCATCCGTTACAACTAATTTACCTCTTGTGACATGCACAATGCACAGTAATTGCACAAAGCTCACTCTGAGCTGCTAGTTCAGGTCGAGAGTGGTGGGATTTGCATGAGAATCAGTTGCCCGAAAAAGGGCCTCGTGCAGATACCGGATCACAACCCACAGGGCGACAAGAATGTTAGCCCAAGAGCGATTTGTTTCCGGCTTAAGTGATTTAAAAGCATGCTCTCGGAAGTCGGATTAGCCAGAGCGACATTCAGTGTATCGTCCTCAGACAATGTCAGCTGTCTGTCCAGGCAAGTGCACCCAGGCAGACAGGCGGCTGTCTGTCCCCGGACTAGTGCACTCCCGCACCTGAATGGGCATGGTCACTCTTTGGTAACCGTAAGGTATTGTAGATATTACTGTTGAAATCCACTCGAATTTACGCAATCGTGGCCATTTTCACGCTTGAGAAGTGTCTAAATCACTTGAATTACTTCCGCACTTCGTTGCCTTATATTCTCTTTGTTTTTTTTTCTGTTATGGTCTTGCATTATCCCGCGCCCGGCTGGGGGTCCTGGATTTCCACGCCCTGCTGGGGGGGGGGGGTGTTTGAACACCCCCCCTTGTAACTCGGCTCCTGGGCCACGTAGCGATACGCAGAAGGCGGCGTTCGAAAGAGCGTCAAAAATAATGACGAAATCACTTCGATCAATTTTTTGGTCAGGTCAAAGGTCAGGTCACCAGAGGTCATTGAAGGCAAAATTTCGCCGATTTCCAGGTCGAATGTCAAAAATTTCCAAGAAGCCAACGCATAACTCGGGAACCAATAGAGCTACAGCGCCGCGGAAAAGCGCATTCGATAGCCCTATTAACGCCCTTTCTGAGTAATTCTCTCAGATTTGACCTAACGTCAACGGTTTTGCCTGCAGGGGGCAAAAACTGCAAAAATAGCCGATTTTTTCGGAAACAGTTTTTCTGCAATAACTTTTAACCCAAGCGCTGTACGAGCTTATTTTTACCGGCATCGTGTTTGTTATGTCTCGCGGCCCACCATCGACACACCACCGCTCGGTTCCGACTGACTGTATTGTAGCACGGTGGTGGGGACGACAGGAGGGTCGTCCCCTCAGGCAGTCCCTGACCTGGGCAGGGACCGACCCAGGTATCACACACACAGTAGCAGGCAACTCACATATCGGCCACCGCCAATGCCCAGGCAGGGGTCTGCACAGGTGTGCACACGGCCCATTACATAACACCTCTCCACCCTATTTTCTTAGTATCGGCCTCGGCCTCAAGTTATAGCGACGCGGCGGATCATCAGGCTGCGGCTGAGTGGTACACTGAGCCGCAGACGGCGGCCGCGGCGGGGACGGCGGCGGCGTCTCGGCGTCCCCTGGCTGAGTGGTCCCTGGATCCGCAGACGGCGGCGGCGACGGCAGCGGCGCCGCGGACGCGGCCCTGGTCCCCGGCGGCCCCCCGGCCGCGGGATCCCTCTCCGCTGGTGCGGCGAGTCGTCCTCTTCCCTCCTCGGAAAGCGGTGTCCCAGGCGGAGGCGGCTGCATCCAACCCGGCGGCATGGACGGCGTCGGCTCATCGGTCAGCTCCATCTGACGGCTAGAACCGCTGGGCACCACGAAGTCTAGGTGGCGCTGTATCACGCGGCCGTCCTCCAGACGAACAGTGATCTTGGATCCAGAGCGGCTCACGCAGTGTCCCGGGAGCCAGCGTGTTCCCCGTCCGACGCCGGCCAGTCCGGAGACCTGTGACACCCAGACACGCATTCCAGGGGTTAGAACACGATCCTGTGACCGACGGTCATATCTCTCCTTCATCTGCTGCTGTGCGGCTGACACACGGTCCTGTAGGTCAGGCAGTAAACAATCCATACGAGTCCGCAAACGTCGGCCCATCATCAGCTCTGCTGGAGTCTGCGCCGTTGTGCTGTGAGGAGAGGTACGGTAGGCAAACAGAAACCGGCAGATTTTCGTGTCCATGCTGCCATGTTTCTGCTTTCTCAGGCCCTGCTTCACCGTCTGCACACAACGCTCCGCTAGACCGTTACTTTTGGCCGACAGGGGTGCGGTCAGCAAGTGGCGCATGCCCAGCTGCTTGCAGAACGTCTCGAACGCTGGCGCTGTGAAACATGTTGCGTTATCACTGACCAGGGTCCGCGGGATTCCAAAATATGCAAATGACTTGCGCAGCAGCTCCATGGTATTCTCGGCTGTCGTTGAACGGGCCAAGTGCACGTCAATCCATTTTGAGTACGCATCGACAACAATCAAGAGCAAGTGGCCATCGAACTGGCAGTGATCAATATGCACTCGGTCCCAGGGATTTTTCGGCCAAGCCCACGGACTGAGTGGCGTCACGGGTGCCTGTCGGCGATACTGCTGACATGTCGGGCAGTGACGCACCAGTTCAGAGACTTCCCTGTCTATCCCAGGCCACCAGACATACATACGAGCGAAACTTTTCGTGTGACTCTCTCCCAGATGTCCCTCATGCAGCATAGACAGAATTCTAGGCCGAATCTTGGGGGGTACCACCACCCGTGACCCCCACAGCAAACATCCATCCTGAATGCTCAGCTCACCTTCCTTGCTTCGGTACTGTACCAGCTCTGGCATCACGAGGTCGCCCGATGGCCAGCCCTCTCTGGTGAAGCGCAGAACGGCACTCAGCACAGGATCCCTGGCGGTGAACAGACGGATGGACTCAGCGGTGACCGGTGACGAGTCGAAGAACTGCATCAGGTGCACCGTCTCAGCTGGAACGGGCAGCTGGGGCGATCCTGCAGACACAGGAAGTCGGCTCAATCCATCACAGTGTCCCTGCTTGATACCCGGCACATATTCCATCTTATACTTGTACCCCGAGAGCAGCATAGCCCATCGTGTCACCCGGGGAGAGGCCATCAGTGATACCGGCTTATTTCCTCCAAGCATACCCAGCAGCGGCTTATGATCTGTCCGGATCAAGAATTCACGACCTGCCAAGTAAAAATTGAACCTGGCCAGGCCAGCAATCACTGCCAGGCCCTCGCGATCGGTCTGGGAATACCGTCTCTCAGTCTCCGACAGAGACCGCGAGTAGAACGCAACTGGCCTCTCAACATGGTTCCTGTCCATGATACTTAGGACACATCCTACCCCCACCGGGCTGGCATCACAAGCCAAAATGACTGGAGCTGTCTCGTCAAAGTGCGCTAAAGTCAGGGTTGATTTCAGCATACCTTTCGTACTCTGAAACGCCTTCCTCTGAGCTGGGCCCCATTCCCACTTCTGCTCCTTTTTCAGCAGCTGATACAGCGGTGCCAGTTCTGTGGCGAGGTTTTTCAGGAACTTCGCGTAATAGTTGACCAGGCCGAGCCATGCCTGAAGCTCTTTCAAGTTTTTGGGCTCTGGGGCTTTTTCAATGGCACTGACCTTGTCTGCTGTTGGTTTGATACCATCTGCCGTGATGTGGTGTCCCAGATACACCACTTCTGATGCCGCGAACTGACACTTCTTCCGCTGCAGTCGCAGTCCTGCCTCCGACAGACGTCTCAGAACCTCCTCCAGCCGCTGCAGATGTTCCTGTTCGGATCCTGCTGAGACAATGACGTCATCGATCAGCACACCAACTCCTGGGATTCCAGCGAGCAGCGATTCCATGTATCTCTGGAAAATCGCCGGGGCTGAGGCATATCCAAAACCCAGCCTAGTCGGTACCAATATTCCCTTGTGCGTATTGATAGCCATGTACTTCCTGCTGTTTTTATCTAGCTGAATCTGATTATATGCGCTTTTCAGATCTAGTTTCGTGAAAATTCTGGCACCCTGAAACAGCGTGAATAGCTCCTCAGTCTTGGGCATCGGGTACCTCTCTAGCGGCGTTACTTTGTTGACCGTTAACCGATAATCACCACAGAGACGGACCTCACCTGACGCCTTCAGTGCAGTGACGATCGGTGCAGCCCACGTGCAGTGTTTCACCGGTTCCAGCAGCCCGGCCTGGATCTGACGGTCCAGCTCGGCGTCGACAGCAGCACGGTACGCCAGCGGTACCGGCCTGGGCTTGTAGAAGATGGGACGTGTGTCTGGGTCAATCGGGATATCTACCACAATCCCCTTCGCACATCCCAACTCATCCGCAAACACATCAGAGTGCTTATGCAGCACAGACTCAACTCCGCTTCCCAGCGTCTGCGTCGTCACCATGCAGATGGTTCTCCAGTCCAGTCTGATGCTCTCCAACCAGTTCCTGCCGAAGAGCAGCGGCCCTGTCCCATCAACTACTACCAGGGGCAGGCTAAACGACTCTCCGCGGTACACCACGTCCATCTGTACCTCACCTCGGACCTTCAGAGGCTCGCCTGAGAAGGTGTGTAGGATGAGGCTGCACGGCTGCAGACGGCGTTTCTTCTCCGGCCAGAGCTCTTGAAACCTGCTGAACGAACAGACGGATACAGATGCACCCGTGTCAAGCTCCATCCTGACATCACGCCCATCCAGCGACATGTCCAGCATGATCGGAGGCCGGCTCTTCACCACATGAATCCGCTCCCGACACTGAAAAACCTCCCCGATAAAGTCACATTCTTCAGTGTCTGCCTCCATCACCCTCTGCTCTTCCCCAGATCCTGCACCATCGCCCTCCTCCTGACGGACCACCTCCGACCCAACATGTTTCACCGTCCCTGCCCGGTGAGCGGCCGATGTATGCCCGTACTTGGAACACTGGAAGCAGCGCTTACGTTTAAAGTAGCATTCGGATTCAGAGTGCGTTCTGTTCAAACAGCGCCAGCATCTCTCACCTTCATGCCGCGCTTGCTTACTGGCGTTGTGTCGCTCCTGGCTGGTCCGCTGTGAGGCTGACGGGCCCGTCCGGACACGGTTCACTGCCGTCTCCCCCGTAGCGGACACCACCGGCTGGCCAGCTCCCGCCAGCTCCTGTAGGTTTTGACCTGCTGTTTCCGTTGCCACAGCAATCTTGATTGCCTGCGGCAAAGTCAGCTCAGCTTCTGCCAGCAACCTGCGCTGAATGGGGTCAGAGTTAACTCCACACACCAGCCGGTCTCTGATCATTTGATCAAGAAACGATTCGAATTTGCAGTCCCGTGACAGCTGTCGCAGGCGCGCCACAAACTCCTGAACAGACTCTGACTGTACTCGACAACAGGAAAAGAACCGATATCTTGCGACAGTTACCGATGTGGGCGGACAAAATTGCTTGCTCAATGTTTCAACAATCATGACATACGTCACCTCATTTGTTTTTTTCGGTGACAACAGCGATCTTACCGTACCGTATGTCCGAGCTCCCATACTGCTGAGGAGAATGGCCCTCTTCTTAGCATCGTCCTGGATGTCATTAGCCACGAAGAATTGATCCAACCTTTCCGCATACTCTTCCCAGTTATCTTGTCCTTGGTGAAATTCTTCAATCTTCCCCAACGGCATGGCTCCGTCCTCACTCCGCTCGTCGCCAATGTTATGTCTCGCGGCCCACCATCGACACACCACCGCTCGGTTCCGACTGACTGTATTGTAGCACGGTGGTGGGGACGACAGGAGGGTCGTCCCCTCAGGCAGTCCCTGACCTGGGCAGGGACCGACCCAGGTATCACACACACAGTAGCAGGCAACTCACATATCGGCCACCGCCAATGCCCAGGCAGGGGTCTGCACAGGTGTGCACACGGCCCATTACATAACAGTGTTCCACTCGTCAAGACGCATCGAATGAACTATAACTTGACCTTGAAAGGTCAACTTGAAAATTTGACCTCAGGTCAAGGTCATGACCTGACCGGAAAGGGTCATGTTGCATATCAGTCGATCCGTATCGTCGAGCTGAACACATCTAAGGCGTTTTCATCGCTCTAGCATGCCTCTATCAAAAGGTATTTGCGAAAAACTGATAGATACCATTCGTGACCTAAGATGACCTCAGGGCATAAACAAGGGTCACGGACACCATTTTCATGTTCAGTGTGTCTAAACCACTTGTAATTCGGTGTTTGGGAGTGTTTATAATGTCTTTCGTCCAAAAGAGGCGCATTTCAATTTTCTCCCATTGACTTATAATGGGGAGGTCGCAAAATTGACCTGACCTTAGGTCATCGATATCAAAATTCTGAGATAAACATTTTGTACATGCTATTGCTCTTAGCGATCGCTGAAAGTTTCAAAGCGATCGGTCACTCGGTGTAGCTATGACAGACATTGAAACTTTTTATGAGGTGAGGTCACTTCAAGTGACCTGGTGACCTGACCTTGAATGACCTTGGTCTGAAATTTTCACAGCATGTGTAGAATTGATGTATGATAAGGTGTACCAAAAACGGCGGCGCGGAGCGCCGCCGTTTTTGAGATATTCGCGAAAAACCACAAGGGGGGTGTTCAAACACCCCCCCCCCCCCAGCAGGGCGCGGGTTATTAAACATGCGCCCCGCTGGTTTCCGTACTCCGCAGAACGTACCGTGCTGGGAGGGGGGGGGGGGCAGATTCTGCCCCCTGTGTAACTTCCGAACATATTGTCAAGGTCAAAAAGGTGTCAAAGTGGTCAAAGCTCAAGGTCAAGGTCAGATCAGGTCACCAAAGCCAGCTATTGAATAGGATATATGCGACACATGTTTTAAGAGGCATTTTACTCATATAACTTAGTGTGCATATACTCAATTACTGATATGGACCATGTTTGGATGACATCTCACATCAATGTCTAGGTCAGGTCAAGTAAGGCCGCATTTTGAAGTTTTTTTCTTCGAGAGCAAAAATAATCGAATGGTGTTATTTTTAGTCATGTAGGTGGTATAAAACTCCCAAAACTCAAAAGTCAAAATGCATAGCAATCTAAAAAAACTGTTATGGAAAAATGCATCAAAAATCCAAAGTTGTCCAAAAACAAAGATGGCCAAAATAAAGTAGAACTGCTCACGTATTTTTGCTTCGTCTTGATTTCTTAAAAACTGACGAAATTAAAACTCCCTTCCAAAGAGCGTTGAAACTTTTCTTAAGTGCCTTTCAAGTTTTTCAGCTTTTGAAGCGAAAATTGGGTGACATAATATCATTAAAACATCATTTTTCAAAACATTTTCGGGCGGATTTCATTAAAAAAGAAATTCAGAGAAGACGTGAAATTCATTCGTGATAAACTAAGTTAAACGTAGCTGACATAAAGCGTTTGAAATATACTGGCGGACCACTGCAGGGGGCAGATTGTGCCCCGACCGCTACCACGCCGCCCATGCTATCTATCATTGGTCACATGGGTCACCTACCTACTGTAAGCCTCATCGAGTTGTAATTTATTTCGGCGTTTTAATTGCTGGTGCCGCTCTCAGCTCTAAGTGCAGTTTCATCTAGATTTATTATCCCGAAGCCCTGTTGACATTTACGCCACGAGTTGGCTGGTTAGGACAGCTCAGTTGGATGACCGCCCGCGGGCTCGTAACGTTGTTTTAAGGGGCGTGCGCTGCCGCAATTTGTTTTTCTTTCTTTTTCATTGTATTTTTTTGTATTTCTCTTTTTGGATTTTCTTTCGACCTTCGGCCCTGCCATACCCCAGCATTGCTGTTCCGCGTAACGCTGTTTTAATGGGAGCACCGAGTCATGCTTTATCCTATAAACACAAAATTGGGACGCTGCTAAAACCTTCAACTGGCCGCATATTTCTGGGAGTACTTCTAAGCAATATGCAAGTTTATTAATGAGCCAGTCAGTGTTAGGGTACATGGATACCTTGATAAATCGAATTTCAACCTAGACTCATAAATGTCCCGTGTCCGTTTCTATTAGCTCGTCCAATAATACAGACAGGGAATTTCTGATTCATCAAAAGCCACTCAAATTGCTAAATACTACAAGTTGAAAATCAGCGAGCTTCTGGGCCATGTCCCAGACATGAAAACGAGGAAACAAGTAGGATCCAAACCGTAAATACATGATATCGCATTTGCTTAATTAGAGGATGAGTATTGGGAGATAGTGTCCCTATTCTCAACAGAAAAAAGGCAAGCTGGTTTTGCATTTGCATCAAGTGTGTTCTCATCTCTCCACCTTTTTATTCAGAGCCCGCCTGTCCAAAGCTCTTCGTCCCGTGTGACCGGGCGCACGTGGGCGTCTGCCGGGAGCACCTTTGACACGGCGCAGGGGTCGGTGATGGGTGGTGGACGTTACCCTGCCCGGCGGCGGCCCGGGCCGTAATAGGCCATCAGACAGGAGCTCAACTAGCCCCCCCCCCCCCGCTTCCGCCCCCGTGAGGGCTCCAGTCGAGCATGACGGTATCGATTTTGGACCCTGTGGCCTCTGTAGCATCCACGTGACGCTAGGCCCAGCAATGACTGAACGCAACCAGGCTTTTTTTCAAAATGGCTAGCCTTTTTACAAAATGACGAGGCATTTTGCAAAATGCCTGACCAGCATGGAACGTAGTTAGGTCCCACTACAGATTCTATGGCCAACAGTTTTTGGACGTCTTCCTATACCCTATAGGTACGTGTTCAGCCTGTAGCTGATCGATTTGAAGCTCTGTGATAACGACAATGCTGAGTAACGACCAGGTTGAGTTGCAGACTCGGCTGTAGCATAAAGCATTGTTTAGTTAACGCTGCAAAAACTCCCAAGTACATCAACGCCGTTCATGTTCTGCCTGAAACTAGACCTAACAAAACCAGCCGGAGACCGGCCCTAGTCAATAGGCAGGCCCGGTTGATGTACAATTACATGTAAACGAATGAGTGTAGTGTTTGTTTGATTGTGCCATTACGGACAAAACTGCATTATGTATTTGGACATTAAAAACACGTTCGAATTTAATTATAATTTCCCACTCCTTCTCTCTCATCCTCACATTTTAACACGCGCAGTGGAAGGGGGAGGGGGCGGACTCCACCCACCCCTCCTGTTTTTCGCCAATAACTCGCGCCGCAAGGTTTTCTTTAGGTTTTCTTCCTAACTTTTCTTTGGAATAAAAAAGCTCTCTGATCACAATGAATATTAAAGCAATAATTAACAAAACACGATTAATTTTGCTATGTGGCAACAGTTTTGAGTACCTACCTACTTGCATGGTCCCAACTCCTAGTTAAAAATATCAAGCTCCACATCGGGAGAATCATCAGGTCGCTTGGCGTACCTGACGAGAGCGTTGGTTTCAAAAGACACTAACGCCTAAGTGTGTGGGATCGAATCCTCGCGAACTCTAATAGTTTTACAGATACAGGCCAGCATAGGGCCAGTCGTTTGTTGACGCTCCAGATTGATCATTTTAAATCCAGCAGCGTCGCTGACGTGGGGGTTGGAAATGTCGCGGGCCTGCACTTCTCAAAATAGAGGTAGGTATGGACTTCCCACTGCTGGACTCCTCTGGTCATAATGCTGGACTCCTCGGTCCACCTACACGCTACCAAAAGGTATATAATTAGGTACTCGTATCTACAACACACTGTTCAGTCATTTTGTAAAATGGCTAGGTATTTTGTAAAATGCCTAGGGATTTTGCAAAATGACTGGAGAGTCAGTCATTTTGTAAAATGCCTAGGCTTTTTGCAAAAAGCCTGGAAAATCAGGCATTTTGCAAAATGCCTAGGCATTTTACAAAATGACTGATTTTCTAAAGTGCCTGCAACATAACTATGATTCTACTTTGCATATATGTACGGTACGCATGTGAATTGTACATATATGCTCATACCCAGTTTTAGAACTTTAGACGTTGCTAAAGATCGTTTTCACTGACACGCCCTAAAGCATATTCGAGAAACGCTCAGGTGAGGAAAGATAAATACAGAAAGTATGCACATTGGACACGACGTCTCTTGTCCGTCTTTTTCATGTCCACTCAATGGCGTCTCACAGAGCCAAATATTTGTTATCGACCAGAGCTTCCCTAGGAATGTGTCCTATTCGGCTGGCGGATACCAACGACAGCTATTGAAGCTATTCGCCGTTAAAAGTTGTTTTTATGTACATAAGCACCCCATTGATGCCTCATTTGCATTATGTTGACCACTGCGTCATCATTTCGATCTAAAAATTAGCTTAACAAAAAAGCCAAAAGGCAGCTGGGGCATTCCACGATAGATCGTACCAGGCCCGTCACCCTCATCTCTCAGATTTGAATGAAAATTAGTACAAGGGGTAATCATAGGCTCCAAAAACACCTGCCAAAATTTCAGACTTCTCAGATGAAAACTTTTTGAGTTACATTGCATAATATTTTCTAAACTTCAGATTGTAAGGGTGATTTTGATGAGCTATAACTCAAAAACGAGCTAAGCAAGCAACAAACGGTAAACAGCTTTTAACTAACGATGAATCAAAGATAAATACAGTATTTTTAAAATTGGAGAGAAAAGCTTTACATATTGAAAAAAGTCGTAGTATTTTTTTAAATTGTCTATAATGGCCCTTGGGACCAAAATTTTTGCCATTTTTATTTCTTCAAAATAAACCTCAGGTCCTTTAAAATCGACATGCAAAAAATTAGAAAGGTGTTCTTTCTATAAGTTCCTCATTTAAATGTATACAAAATGGGTTTCCGGGGGTCGGTACGACCCCACCTCGCCGTTTCGCCTCTAATGGAGCTAGAACCTTGCGGAAAAAACGAGCATGTGCGCCGTTACGAGATGCATCGAATGATACCATATTTTAAGGTCTCGGGTTCATTGGTGACCCTTGAGGTCATTTCAAGTGACCCAAAATTACG